TGGAAAACAAGCTCACTGTTACTGTGTTTGAACACTGCAAAACTAGCTGACAGATTACTGCTAAGAGGCTACAATAGTAGTCTAAGACCATGGAGTGCATGAGCCACAGAGAGATAGGAACTGAACCTCACATACAACCCTGGGCATCATCTTGACTTTGACTATAGTAAATAAGCCCTTCTGATCCCAGCTATGCCAGCAGAAGGCATCACTGTACCTGCCTGCCAGAGATTGCTATTTATTCTAGCAGAGTGGCTTCTGTGCATCTTAATTTCACTCAGGATAACATGAACGTATTCCAACAGCCCCACAGCTCATCTCTGTAACTACAGGTATTGTAATGACTCCTTGTTTCCCAGCAGTGTGCAAGGAGCTGTCACAGTAAGACACTGTGAAGTGTTTAGAGCCCATGATAATGGAAGCCAAGCACTTGCTGTACAGCAATAGAACTGAAGAGCATGTAATAAAGCCAGGCTATCAGGTGACAGGGACCTGTGCTTTTAGGGACCTTCGGTAGAAGGAAGAGGAAAATGATCCTGGTGGGTGAAGGTAGCAATTAGAATGACCCTGACTCAGTCAGTACAAAGATCTTTTCTGTGCCACATCTTCCACTAAGAACTCTGTAGGTGTTTATGCACAAGATGGGCATCTTCAACCTACTCTCATTCATCAGGTCTTTGTGGAACTGGCTGGGAAAGGCCCATGTGTGAGTCTGGCCCTCATTCACTCAGCATGCTTGTGGCATATCAGCCCTGTTCCATGTGAGCTCTATGCTCAGCAGGTAAACTGCCTGTTCCAATACAAAGAAATCAGATGGTAACACTAACAGGATTGTGGTGGCTAGTCACTGATAACACACTAAGAAAGAGCAAAGCTTTCTCTGTCAGTGAACTAAGACTGCACAGCAGGACTTGCTTTTGTATAAATCTTTACATGCATACTATTCTTTAGGCAGGAGAAGAGACAGATACTGGATTTGTGCTATGAATGGCTGAATAAAGAAGAAGACAGAAAAATCGCATCAGATCTAGATCAAACTATTTTTAAGGTACTTTTAACAAATTTGATTATTTTCCCCAAACTACTGGTCAATTTTGGGATCATGCAATACCTACTTCTGGAGCTGATCCACTATTCTGCTGAAATGAAAAATACAAAATATAAAAAATACAGTTATATGTGCAGAGATAAATGAAAGAAAGCAGGAGCAGGAAAGCAGAAATCATAGAACCTTGGCAACTTGAATGTATACAGCCCAGTTTCTTAGAAGAAATCCTGTAAGTCTTAGAGCATTTCTAAGATCTGACAGAACTATCTGTTGCCTTTAAAGAAATTAAGATACTAATGCCAAGGATTTTTCTTCAAACCAGATGTTCTCAGTAATGCTTAAAAAACACTGAGATATTCTAGCATTTCCCATGCATCTTCCACACTCCCAGAGTCCCACTAAGGAGGAAAGTTCAGACTATCAGACTGAAGATCCAAATAGACTCATATCTGCCATGAACAGTGACAGGGTCCAAATAAGAGCTACTATTTCCTAATCCTGCCAGCCCACTGAGACAACTCACTTTCACAACGGGGGAAAGGCCGTGTCCACTGTCCCAGGTTAAGGCAGTGTTGAACAGAGTTTCCCACTATCTGGAAGCCAGGGTCACAGGAGAGGCTCACTTTTGACCCTGGCTTTAAATCAGAAGAAGAGGCCCGCAGGTGTGGTATGGATCCTTGCAAAGACGGACAGTCTGTGGACAAAATATGTGCATACAGTAAGAGATACAGCTACATGCAGAAATGAATAAACTTGTTATCTGACTGTTTGATCTTGTATAAGTTTATCTAGGAGAAAGTTTTGAGAAATATTATGTATGCTACATCTTGCTCAAGTTCAAACGCTTTTGAGAATCGTCAACATACAACATTAAAAAAGGCATCTGTAGGAAAAGCAGTGAGGAGGCAGTAGGTATTTTAACATTATCCAATTATTTTTAGAAAAAAAGACAAGAAAAACTTCTTTCTGACCCAACATTATCTTCACT